CAGCAAAGGGACAAACACTTTATCACACCATTAGACTTGGATTGTAACCATTCTCAGTCACATGTTTAACTTTTGCATGTTGCTGTAGCTGGTATGTTCAATGGTATGTTGTGTTTTTCATGGACTAGTTCAACATTTCTTCACACAGTCACAGTTGATGCAAACCGCTTTCTCAATAATACTAAAGATTTTGGAAGCAATAATGATGCTTTCTCCAGTAACCAACTCAATTACACATTTTAACTCATTCTCCAAAATACTGTCTCCTTTTCGTGCTCTCTCTCACATGGACATTTTCCATGCAAATCCAAACAAATGTGTTCCTTGCTGGCCTCCTGCCACACCCTGTCGATTACCATACATTCGACCTAGTTTAAAAAAAAAAAAATTGTTTTGTTTTTGTGATTCTTGCTGGGGTTGTGGCTCAGGAGATCTAGTAATTGGAGCATTTGGTTGTCCAATCCCTGGCCGCTCCAGCCTGCATGCCAAAGTAACCTTGGACAAGATACTGAACCCTGAATTGTTTCAAGTGCATTCATTGTTCGTTCTAGTTTTATTTTCTTGATTGTCTTATGATTCTGTATTCTGTGGTGTTTGCATTTAGCTTCCTGTTTTTCTTAGTGTCCATAAGTCTTGTTATCTCCTTACTGATACAATTTCCTTGTTTTTTATTACATTCCTTTACTTCTGAGTTTCTGAGATAGTTATGTTTGTATTCTGTTCACTCAGTCTTCTTTATTTTAAACTCAGTCGAATATGCATGCAGTGTATTTGTCATCTGTTACTTCCTGTTTTAATTTGGTGGTCTGGAGTCTCTTGTGCTTTGTATTTAGATCTACTTCCTAGAGGCTTGAGCTTTGAATTTGACCTTTCAATAAAAAAAAAGTGTAAAATCTGAGTGCCTGATAATGAGATTGGGGCCACTCCCTGGCTGGATCATCTCTGTCTCATCAGCAGCAGTATACAGTGAGGTCAATAAGTATTTGATCACCCTGTGATTTTGCGCGTTCTCTTACTTAGAGATCATGGAGGGGTCTACAGTTTTCAGCATAGGTTAGATTTCCACTGTGAGAGACAGAATCTAAAAAGAAAAATCCAGAAATCACATTGTATGATTTTTGAACAATTTATTTGTGAATTACTGTGTCAAATAAGTATTTGATCACTTGAGTCAAAAAATAATAATATTTAGTACAGAAGCCTTTGTTAACAATTACCGAGGTCAAACGGTTCCTGTAGTTCTTCACCAGGTTTGCACACACTGCAGGAGGGATTTTGGCCCACTCATCCATAAAGATCTTCTCTAGATCTGTCAGGTTTCGGGGCTGTCGCTGAGCAACATGGAGTTTCAGCTCCCTCCAAAGATTTTCTATTTGGTTTAGGTCTGGAGACTGGCTAGGCTACTCCTGAACCTTGATATGCTTCTTACGGAGCCACTCCTTGGTTTTCCTGGCTGTGTGCTTTGGGTCATTGTCATGTTGGAAGACCCAGCCACGACCCATCTTTAATGCTCTGACTGAGGGAAGGAGGTTTTTGCCCAATATGTCACAATACATGGCCCCGTTCATCCTTTCCTTAATACAGTGCAGTCGTCCTGTCTGCTGTGCAGAAAAACACCCCCAGAGCTTGATGCTTCCAGCCCCATGCTTCACTGTAGGTATGGTATTATTGGGATGATACTCATCATGCTTCTTCCTCCAAACACGGCGAATGGAGTTAAGACCAAAATGTTCTACTTTTGTCTCATCTTACCACAGGACCTTCTCCCATGACTCCTCTGGACCATCCAGATGGTCCCTGGCAAACTTCAGATGGGCCTGGACATGGGCTGACTTAAGCAGGGGAACCTTCCATGCAATGCAAGATTTTAAACCATGACGTCTTAGTGTATTACTGATAGTAGCCTTGGAAACGATGGTCGTAGCTCTCTTCATGGCATTGACCAGCTCCTCCCGTGTAGTTCTGGGCTGATTCTTCACCATTCTTGGCATCATTGAAACCCTACGCCTGGCCCCAGTCCGAGGGACATTGACAGTCATCATTAGCCTCTTCCATTTCCTGAAAATTGCTCCAACAGTTGTTCTTTTTTCACCAAGCTGGGTGGCAATCGCCCCGTAGCCCTTTCCACTCACTGTATATGGACCATCCAGTCTCTGCCAGATGATCTATCTCTCAAAGCAGAAACCAGGCCTAGTTTGTGTTCCTTAGGTTTATAGTTTATGAGTGCTAGTAAGAGCATTTCTCCTTGTGTTTCCGAGTGTGCTTCCATCCTCTAGTCTCAAGAAGTGGTTTCCTATCCACTGGGATACTCACCTCAACAATTCACCTGCCTACTCATCCTTTGATGGCTCCCTCCTCTATGGATTCACAGAGCTGTGGACCTTCTCGCCCCCTGCTTCCCCACTTAAAGGTCACAACCTCACCTCATCTGAAACCTGAGCCATTTCCAGCCACTCCCTTGCTCCTCTCATCGCCTCATAAGCCCTCTGAGTGAATATTTTAAGAACTTCAAGGTACATCACAGTAAATGTCTTTCTGAAAGTGCTATGAATAATTTTAAGGATATAATTCCTCCACTGTTATCTTCCTCAATGTCTTGTGCCAACACCAAGTTTACTGCTCCATCGAGTGTTTTGCGTTTGGGTCCAACATCCTGCGTGCTGCACAGCCGTACCTCGACAGTCTAAACTGGGAGGCAACTATAGAGAGTATCGCAAAGGAACACAAAAACAGGGAACCTGAGAGGACACATGGAACAATAACGTATTATAAAAATGCAAAGAGGAGGGCTGTGTATCAAACTCTAACAGCAGTGCACAGTCACATACCTGCATTCATGACAAAGACCAACAAAGTAGAATGGTTAATTTTGGTGAACAACCAGTGTGAGCCCTGTGTGAAAAGACGGCTCGCTAGTCTCTTTCCTGGTAACGAAGTCTCACATGGAACGAACATCTAACCCAACATAAGGATGACAGAAGTAACCCACAGCAAATGATATTTAACCAAAAATAACCAAGTCAGTTTCTATTAATGTTATGGACTAGCAACATGATTTCTTTCCACAACATTTACATTCGTTACCTCTGTGGGAATCCTTCATCACTCTGAAGATTACTCACAATTCTTTGCCCTTCATAGTCAATGCAGGGTGACATTTGCAATAGTAGGTGATGCCATTGTCCCATTTAGCAGGATTTAACTTCAAACCTTTTTAACTACACTGCTTCGCCAACTGGATTTAACTAATCAATTAGGTATGAGCCTCCTATTGGACAAATACTGAATGGTGATTATCTTTCAGTTGGCAACAAGTTGCCCAAATGATGCAATGAGTTGCTTCTCATTTCTTAAACAACCTTGTTGAAAGATACATCTCGTGGTCGTGGAAAAGATGATAGTGTGTGTAAAAAGGGTCAAACCATTGCCATGCATCAAGCAGAGAAAACAGCTAGTGGACAGTGGGGACAGAGCATCTTAGAGGTAGGAATGTGGCCAGAAAAAAATGTAATTTGCGAGGGAGCATAAAGATTGGATTCTGGAGCACTGGAAGAAGGTCATGTGGTCTGAGTCCAGATTTACTCTCTTCCAGAATGATGGCACATCAGGGTAAGAAGAGAGGCAGGTGAAGTGATGCACCCACCATGCTTGGTGCCTACTGTACAAGCCTGTGGGGGCACTGCTCTAGGATTGCTGCAGTTGGTCAGGTCGAGGTTCAGCAATAGTATGTGCTCCAAGAATGAGGTCAGCTGACTACCTGACTATACTGAATGACCAGGTTATCCCATCAATGGATTTTTTCTTCCCTGATGGCACGAGCATATTCCAAGACGATAATGCTAGGATTCATCGAGCTCAAATTGTGAAAGAGTTGTTCTTCCAGCATGAGACATCATTGTCACACATGGATTAGCCACCACTGAGTCCAAACCTAAACCCCATTGAGAATCTTTGGCTGTGCTGGAGAAGGCTTTGTGCAGCAGACTCAGGTTGTTGGTAAAAAGTTAATGCAACACTGGATGGAGATAAATCTTGTGACACTGCAGAAGCTTCTCGAAACAATGCCACAGCGAATGAGCGAGTAATCAAAGATAAAGGCGGTCCAATGAAATATCAGAGTGTGTGACCTTTTTTTTGGGTGGAGACTTTTTGTTTAGCCAGGCAGTGCATGTTACAAAAGCAAAGACTATCAATAATTCAGAACACAAACACTGCATCACCGACCCAGGACCCTGACAGAGGCCATGTTTCCATATTGCACATGTACTGTAGTGATGGAAGTGAAATGAATGAAGAAATACATAAAGGCAACACGTGAACAAGAGGAGCTTCATAGAGCTCATCTTAAAAAAGCAAATGTGTTTGCCACAAGATCACATTCAGGTCACAATTGTGATGGGAAAAGCTGTCAGACAGGACAGGCTTTAAAAAAGAAGACGCCTCTTGGATGAAAGTGGAAACTCCAGAAACCTTTTCAAAGTCAAAGTCAACTTTATTTGTCAATTCTGCCACATGTACAGGACATACAGAGAATAGAAATTTCATTACTCTCAAACCCTAGATGAAATAGCAATGAACATTTAAATATAAGAGAGTGATTAAAAAATGCAAATAAAATAATTAAAAAGTAAAAATTTAAATAAATACATAACAAATTAACAAGAAAGCTATACAATATACAATATACAGTATTCAGGTAAGGGTAAATGACATTGAGTGTAAACCAGGCAGAGTAGTGCAAATGGAGATTTAGTAATGTACGGTAAGAGATAGCATGAAGGTGTAGCTGTGTACAGTGGCATGTTATGTTTTTCAGTATTTTTCCTATTTTGTTTTGGCGCTCTCTTGTCCTGTGTCAGTGTGCACAGTTTGGCTTCCCTCGTCCCGTTAGCCTCAATTAGTCCCAGCTGTGTTCCCTCTTGTTTCACATCCTCGCCTTAGCCTACGTGTATTTAAGTCCTCTGTCGTCCTCTGCTTGTTGTTCTGTTGGCCTCTGTGTTTCCCTGTATTCCATATTTTTGAGTCTCCAGTTCTCTCCTGAGTTTTTGTGTCTTTGAGTGTTTTTGCCACAGCAATAAAGCTGCCTCTTTCAGTTCATCCTTTTGTATCTGCGCCCTGTAATTTGGATCCTCATTCTACCTGCTGCACAGCCGGACCTGAAAAGTTCTTCACGCAGTCAGAGTTGAAGTAACACTTCTGTCTAAATACTGTGAGTGTTTTTGAAACTCTGTTTTCCTCGTGAACTGGCTTCAGAACACATTTTCACCCACTTTCTCAAATCTTTCTCCTTTGCGTGCTTTGACCAGAGAGACGTGCGGAGATAATCCATGCAAATGTGAAAATTTTCTATACAAATGTGTTCCTGCTGCACTCATGCTGCATCCTGTTTTTCTTTTTTAATAATCGTTTTATCACTACAAACATCAAGCAGCTAAAACATCCACCTGCTGCCAACCCATTTAAAACCACTGTAAACACTGGTGTGTTGAACACCCACAGCTGTTGCTGCATGTGTGTCTGTGTCGTCCACTTGGTCTCCGTCCTCTTTGTTCCCTCTTTAAGACGCTGTTAATGAACAGGGGAGTGTCACTTTCTCTCTGAGCTGATCAGGCTCTTTGAACTGTTCTGTGCTCTTCATTTAAATCCAGACGTGATCACATTTTCAAACTGTAGCTCCTAAACTTTGGAACAGCTCTTCACAACATCTGAATCATTACAAAGAAAAGTTGCAATAATTTGTATCGTGTTTTAAGAAAAAAGAAAATTCTTACTAATTGCTAAACTGATTTAACCAATCAACAAATATGAGATGTGAGCCTCTCCCAGCTGTCACTGGGTCAGCTGATCCAGGCTTATATAACTTTTAATGTAAAGTAGTTTTATTTCCTTATTCATTTACATCTGAGATAGAAGATAATCCGCATTTTGGGTTTTTTGCACTTTGCATGTACATCACAGGTGTTACTGAAACAGAGTGAATCCAGCAGCTCTGTGTTTGATCCTCCATCAGCTCTTCACTGTAATCCAGATCTCCTAACATGATGCTCTGCTCTGGACTCAGCAGCACACTGTGTGAGTACAACACACTGATAATCCTTTATTTAGACATGAAATCAGCTGCACATGTTCAGTCTAATCCTTTTCTAGCTTTCCACTGTGCTGTACTGTGACATGCTTTTCTTTCTGCTTTATTGGATCAGTTCATCTAACATCCTAAATACATGTTTGCATCACCTCAGCAGGACAGTTAGGCT